AGGGAAGAATAAGGGTTATGAAATAGAACATTTAAAACACAAAAATTCTAGGTAAAATATTTCTGTAATTCTTCTGTAATAAATAGAATGTAAATCATCTAAAAAATGTGCAAACAGCCTCTCTATTCTAAAACATATTACACACTAATCAAAATAATTATATATGTATTGCTTACTTTACAGATTGCTTACTTGTAGATTACAATATAAAGTTGAATAGCATCCCGAGAAAACAATTAGAAAATATCTGTACTATACCACAATAAGAAAAACAAAATATATCTTGCTATTTTTAATATTAAAAATACAATACATTTCAAGGGTTTCTTTTTTAATATTTAATTTCTTTTCTTCTTTAATAATGCAACAATGATACATCCAAAAATATGAAGAATTTTTTTTAAAAATTAAAACTGAAAACTTATAATAATCTAAAAGTTATATCACCATAAAAATGTAATTTTGAAAAGTAGATGCATTAAAATCTTATTTATACATGTATAAAATTCAACCTACAAAATAATGGTTTCATTATTCAGTAATTTAAGGGGATTTTTTTTTAAGTGTGGGGGGGGGGAACTTTATTTCCACAACAAGCAAAATATTATCATGATTAAAACTGAAATAATAAAAATTACAATAATAATAATATCATTCTTATTCAATACCACCTTTTTGACGGAAAAAAAACAGATCCAGCAAATGAAAGAAATCATTAAAAAAAAAGTTGATTTTCATAGCAGGCAAATAAGATTTTACAAATAAAGAATAGCATAACAAAATTTTATTTTTTTCTTATACCAATGAAAAATCATATATTACTTTTAAAAAAAATGAAATTAACTCTCTGAGCGGAGCAGGATTTTAGATCTGTTATGAAAACCGGCATTTAAACAGCATTTATTAATTGAGTTACTTATTTTAGTCTGTATTTTCATAAACTTACATTCATTAGGATGATATTTACATTATTAAAGAAAGTAAGAAAGCAAAATATCTTAAATTATAAGCTAATATATGCCAAGTAGCAAAACTTCTGATGACCGGATAAAGCCAGTCATAATGCTCAGAGGGTTAAAATATAACCATAATATGCCCATGATTGGTGTAAACGAAAGGTTAATAAGATAGGACTTCAGAGTTTCCTTATGAGTTATTCTGTTTATTAAACATAAAAAATTCCATTTTATTGATACATTTATAACAGATCCTATAAACCAAATCTTAATCTACAGCTGAATTTTGCTCAGTTGCATATCAATTGTATGTTAATATGGAATTTGAACTATAATAATACAGAAAATATGTTAATAATTAAAAATAACAATTTTTCATAATTTTAAATAAGACACTATGAAAACTAAAAATAAAATTTTAAAAAGCTTGTTTTCAATGACTAATCAAAAAGTAAATTGATTTCAGAAAGAAATGTAAATGCATTACAACATTAATAAAAAAATCTGATTTATTTTCCATCATATATAATTATTTATCATATATCAATCAAGCAAATTTGTAAAAATCTGTAACTGCTATTTTAACAATCTGAAAATAAGCTTAATAAATATGCTCTACAAATTCATAATTAAATCATCAATAAATTTATAAATTAATACCTCTCAATTGATAAATACTTACTTATAACTGAAGTTATTGATAATTTATCAATATGCAACTAATCCTTTTATAAGAATAGATTAATTGGTTTACATATATTATAAAAAATTAAAACTTAATTTTATGGTTTTAAAAATAATATCTCAAAACTAAAAAAATATTTCATATAAGAAAACTACTATGACACAATTAAATTAATGAACAAAAATAGTAAAACTGGAAAGATTATATTAGTATCCTTGAGCACAGCAATAACTAAAAGATTAAAATTTGCCTTAAATGGAAGCACCAAAATTTCAGATTTAAATTACACAATTTATTTATTTATTATTCTCTTGACATAATTATTTATAATAAGCTCTCAAATAAGAGAACCAATACTATTTGTATAAAAGTACACATCTGTCTGCAAGACATACATTATTATTCATGTAAAATAATAATATAAAAAAATCAACATTAGTAAAAAACATAGGAACTTCTCAATTAATAAATAAAAAAGTATACTATAATAATAAATATGACACTAGAAATTATATTCTATCACAAAATATACACAAATTATTTTAAATACATACTACAAGCAATACATAACTTCCTTACACAAATATTCCAATATTTCAATAAATTATCAGTGGAATGCCTCCTAAAACATAAAAATGACTAGAAAGACTTAGGAATTAAAATGCATGCATATTATCTGAATAAAATTTCATACAGTGGAATTCTGATTAAGACATCGTTATAAAACTGCTTATAACACAGAAAATAATAATCAGAAAACCTATGCAATGCTGGCTGTATAAAAAAAATTACAATTTTACATGAAAGGCAAAAATGAATAAATTATGAATCATTATATAATTCATCATTACGTTATCAGCATTCAATTTTCTACTCAGATCACTACATTTTAACACAATGTTAAAATGGAGAGAAGAGATCTTGAAAACTCTTTTACACATTTAAAATACAGGAAACAGTTATATCCCTTGTGTTATTCTTGTGATAAATTTTACACATCTATTGTTGCATTCTTATACCATTTTTTTTTTTACCATTATAACATTTTTGTTTTGGCAGCAATTTATACTGACGATTACTGATGATGAAAAATGCATAATCATTTTAACTTTAATTAACTTCTGGACTCGTGCACTATTTTGTGCTATTTCAAACTAAAATCTTTGACACTTTTTTTTTCTAAAAAATTTAATGCAAGCAAAAAAAAAAAAAAAAAAATGTTAAATGAACAAGAAAATTAATACCTAGTCAAAAAATTATTCAAATACACTTATTAGAGAAATAATGGTTCTGTTACTATTCTGCATAAACTAAATGGGTAGGTTCATCACAAAGATTCTTATACTTCAAACCGTTTCATATATTTTATTTAATAATTAAATTAAATAAGCATATTTGAAAAGAAAATCATAGTGCATATAATGGCTAATTCTGAATTCCACTGCATGCATATTTTTTTTAATTAAACAAGAAATAGATATTAAAATACTCAAATTCCTTTAAAATTCTTGTACATAATGACTAGAATGTATACATAGTAAAATATGTATGATTTTAACATATCCAAATCTCTTTTCACACAGGCCCATCAACGGTAAAGTGAAAAATGGTTAGGTTATTTCAATAGAGCAAAGTAATCAGGGTTATCTGCTTATGGGAAAGGCTGCTTTTTGCAAGGCTTTCTGAGCGAAGGGTGCTCGTATTCACATTAACCAAGAGGACACCATGAGAATCAACTGTACAGACAGCCCATTTGTCTGGGTACAAATCCAGGTCAAACTACTAGCATTCAGGGGTCTCAATCGCTCGGCCACTGGTGGATCCTGAAGTAGGGGAAAAAATGGTGAACACATTCATTTGACAAGTACAGTTTCTGGCAACTCGATTAGTTGGTTCTATGAAGTTTCTTGATTTCTTCTATTCTTTCTTGATTCATGTACTGCATGAATCTGAACCCCCCCCCCCGCAAAAAAAGCAGGACCAGTCTGGGTCAGATACTGCATTATTTATTATTACTATTATTTTACTACTTTGGAAGAGAACAAATGCGTGTCTGATTACCCTCTAAATCATCAGAATTTCATTCAATGTCTAACAGAATTAGTGTTGCATTTCCCCCCCCTTAGTTTTAAATTTAAATTTGACTTATTTCTCTTCCAACTTAATTCTTTTCATTTCAATATTTAATTCACATTCACATTTTGCCCGCTCATCCTTACTGTCTTTCAAGTCAATCAGGTACTTATAACTAATTCTTTCAACTTTTTAATTCCTTCAACATATATTAAAAGTTTTTCTAACACATGTATTGCTTACATAAAATCATTTTCCATGCACCAGTGAGAAATACATAAGAAAGAATTTTCCTAAACAGAACCATTTTCTAACATATTTTTTGAGATAGCATGAATTTTTATTCAGTTTTCAACACATATTGCAAATGTGTCTACAGTGTGAAGAGAGAGATGGGTACATTAAGATGACTAAGGGGGGGGAATATACATAAAGTAATACAGTCAAAAGTCGTTAATCCGGACCTCAAAGCTAAACTTTCTGTGCATGCGTCAACGCATAAAGCGTTCACGCATGCACATAGGCATTTACGCATGCGTGTATGCGTGTGCGCATGTGCATAAAACATTTACGCATGCACGTTTAATGTATAACAGATGGTATAAGCTAAGCTAAAATTATCTATTTCAGTTAATGTTGCAGATTGCGTTGTTCCTTAATCTTCTAATTGGATGCAGCTTATTATTTTTTGCAGACTGTTAGAGCAATTTTATAAAAGCAAGCTTGAACTTTCGATTATCTCAAAAAGAATCTCTGATTTTGGAGATACCAAAGGATCTACAAAGCGAAAGCATGTTCCGATGTCCATCAAACAAAAAGTGGAATTGCTGCAAAAAATGGATAAAGGCATATCCTTTGATTCTCTAATCATTCGAAATATGTTTATCAATTTCATGCTGCTCTGCGGTGGGTGGGGGGACGCGGCGCGCAATGAACTGGAAGTTGATCTGTCAGCACTATCCTTATCTTCAGGGCATTTGTTTTTATTTTATTCGGCTTGTAATTTCTTATTAAATGTAGTATTTCATCTCAATGTACTCTGTCTTTGATATGATTTAAATCAAATTCCTCGTCATTATAAATATCATGAATGCACATAAAATAGTTTTCTGGTTCCAATTTTCTAATTTCGACTATGCGTAATGTATGCTTTATGCATGCGCACGTTGAAAGAAATGTTTAATAAGAAACAAAAATATTAAGCTTTTTTTTTTGTAAATTTTGATACTCTTTAGATCATTTGCTCTTTATTTCATAAATTAACGGTTTCATATTTTTAATTTTATAATTTCTGCATGCCATCTTACCAGATTTAAACTGATGATCTATAATCTGGAAAAACCGATAATCCGGAATCCTAGAAGTCCCGACGAGTCCGGGTCAAAGACTTTTGACTGTAGTACAAATGGCATTTCCATGGACAATCACAAGATAAAATACAAAAAAGGGAAGATAACCCATAATAATAATAATAATAATAGTAATAACAAACACTCTTGCAATGATTTGTGGATGATGCATATTATTCAGACTACACATAAGAATTTAAAACTTAAAATCTGATATATTTCATAAAATTTATGTGAACATAAAATATGGTGCGCTTTTTACTTTTTTGAAGATTTCCATGAGGAATATTTGGCAGGACTTAATTTAGCTTGATCGAGAATTATCAGCTTCACTGTCTACACCTGATGAAGTAGGTGCTATTTTAGAATGTTTAAAAGAAGTAAGGGGCCCTCTATGAAGACTTCTTTGCGGCCCCTTAGCTCTACTTTCATTTCTAGAAGTTAAATTGTTAGGGTCAGGTCCTCGGAGCAATGATGCATTTGGGCCCTTATAATTTTTAGGGTCTGGCCCTCTCCAGGGCATATATTCTTTCCTACAAAAAATAATAATAATATTTCCAGTCATGAGAAAATTAATTTTTTTCACACAGAAATTTCCAAGTAAAAAAAAGCACTGCAAAAAAATTATGCATATTTTTAAAATACACTATGTTTCATTCAGACCTGAGTTATTATTTGCTATATTTATAATACACGAGTAGGCAAATGTAATTTGTAACAATTCACACTTTGAGAAATATCCAACACTAGCAGCTTCGCTGCCAGCCTTCGTCTGGCTTTTAACCCGGCGGGTGTCGCACCAAGAAAAGTAACTAGAGTGGGCGCGTGGGGTATCACATACTCCAGTATTTAAAATATGATAAAAATAGTATTATTTAGTTTTAAAAACTTTTTTTTTTTTTTTGTTTTGTGCATTATAATACGTGAATAATAATTGGGTTTCAAAAAATTATTTCCGAAAACAATCTTAATTAAAATTAAGATAAATGAAATAATAAAAATATAAACTTCATGCCTCTAAGTTTTCACTGCATCTCTAATACCCATGCTTATTATTTCTCACACTTTGAACGAATACATTAATGTGTTTTCGCACAGAATGTTTTCACATTTTAAACATTGCATTCACATTTCTGTCCTTGGCGCAAGGGCAAAAATTTATCACATCTTCATACTTAGTTGTTTCGAATTTCATATATTCATTTTAATTCTTCGTCGAAACTTCTGCTTTTGTTTTGCATGCAGTATGTCAATTTCTTGGAAAAATATTAATCTCTGATCTTTGTTCAATACTTTTTTCATTAATTGTAATGCTATGTCCTTCAAAACAGACTTTGTTTCTGGTTGGTCGATTTGCAGTTGAATGTAATATAATTCATGCATTTATTACAGCAACATTCAGTGCAGGAAGAAAATTACCATTGGCCACCTCCTTGTTATTCTGGCAATTGAATTAATTGGCTGACATTCATCCCCAATCCACTGCTCCTTTAGTCATATTATTAAACATATATTCCTGTGTTTATTTTCTCCAATAGTATCATCTATAGTATGATCGTTACATAATGTTGAAAGCATAGAAGAACAGTTTTCCTTTTTAGGAACATCAGGAATTATGTTTTATCTTTTTCGAAACCAAAACTTGTAGAAAATAGTCTTAGTTTAATCTTCAGTTCCAAAATGCAATCTTCATCGCTTTCAAATATTTCTAATAATCTCACATGCGTTGCATCTCCAGTTCATAGGGACTCGTTCTTTTTACCATAATGCAGTTAGAAATTTTTAAGAATTTAATGTCGAGTACTTTAAAATCACTTGCAAGTAGAATATTTACTGTTACACTCTAGAAATAATTTCTGAGTAAATATTCAGTCAGAAAAACATTTACACGGACAGGCGCGTGGGGTGGTCATACCCCAGTTCCAACAAAATACCAATAAATCTTTTTCTGAAACACACCGGCCAGAAAAAGTGGTTCTGAAAGTCACCATAACTAAAACTCAGCTACTGAAAGCAGCACAGAATTTCAGTTTCACAAGTTAGGAATATTCCACTTTTATGTAGGGTTGGGATATGATACACCCCATGAGCATTCCCGCGGGTTAAATGTACCGGAAAAATGGCTGAAGGGAACACCAAACGTTAAATTTAAAAACTGCTTAGAATTTTACTCTGCAGAACAACTCCATAAAAAAAATTTATTACGTATAACAAAATTACAATGAAATAAGCAATATCCCTTAATAAAAATATTAAGTATCATAATAAATAAATTCACCAAGTTCCCTTTTGCAAAATCTTAAGAACTCAAATGGTGTAAAGGAGGTTAAGAACTTTGTTTCCTAAAAAAATTACTCAAGACTTTTCAATATCTTAAAGACAGTGAAATAGGCAATAAAACACAAAAAGAATAAAAACAAAAATTCTGAAAAGCAAAGTATAATTAATGATATTTTATCTTATATTTTCAAGGAGAAAAAATTACAATGAAATAAGCTATATCCTTAATACAAATATTAATTATCCTAATAAAAAATTAATCAACTTCTGTTGAAGAAAAAAAATCATGCAAAACTTTCAATATCTTACAAATAGTGAAAATAAGCAAAAAATAACATGAAAGAAACTCAAAAAACAAAAAATTCGTGCAGAATTTACTCTGCAGACACTTTATCAAAAAGAAATCAATAAAAATATATTATATATATAAAAAAATGACAATGAATATGCCAATCTCTTAAAAACAGTGACATAGAAATACGATGAAAAATTGTTGCCAAACCCATATTTCTAAAGAATGAAACTATTCAAAATGACGCGATTTCATCAAAAATCTATCAACAACAATAAGAAAGGAAAATTGTTGCCAAAATCACATTTTTAAAGATGTGAGATGTGAGAAGTGTACTCGGAAGCTTCATTTAATTTTTTTTAAATACAAAATATTATCATTTTTCCAAAATTCTTTTTGTAAAAGCAGTCACAAGGATGAAAGTTTAACGTGTCCAAAAATCAAAGAAAAATAAACTATACATTTTTAAAAATTAACTTTTTTAGAAAAAATCCCGTTGAAAAGGTGTTAAGCTCATTTTGTTAAATAATTTCGTATTTAATTGATTTATTGAAACACGAAATTTATTTTAAGTTCGTAAAATAGCTGAGTGCCAAAGTTTCATGACGATCTGAAAATGGAGTGTGTAGAGTAAAATCTCGCTTTCCTATAGTCCATTATGTCTCAAAATGACGCGATTTCGTCACAAAACATAAAATAAAAAAAATTCTAATTCGAATTTCGAAAAAATCGCTTCGAGGTGCACTGGCTCTTGTCTAAATGCACCTATGTACCAAATTTCATAGCCGTGGGTCTATTAGCTTATGCGCAGCGCGAACGAAAGACACACTGACACACACACAGACAGACTCTTTTTTTTATTACATGTAGAGATATTGAACTACAAGTTCTGGAAATGGTCACATTTCGACACAGATATCTCAAACTTGGAACACTATGCTTGCAACCGTCTCACTCAAATGAGAATGGCTTGTGTTATCAGCTGTAGTTGTGAAGCTCTCTTTCCATTACTTGACTGTGTGTAATTTATTAGTATTGATTTTTCTTTTCAGTGTTTCTGAAAGAAGAAGAAGTCTGGTACATTCGACTGGAACAGTCGAGATACATAGAATTTAACAGTCTTCAGAGAAGTTGATTATAAATTATTGTTCACTTTTGGAAAACATCATAAAGCCTTCCTTTGTTTAATGGGCAAACAAAACTATGGTACACTGTCAATATATTTTAGGAATGCAGTTATCACATAGAAGCTTCTAATATCATGAAGTGACATATCTCACTTCCAAAAGGTTTATAGCATTCGAATTACACACAATCCAGCAACTGAAAAAGAATATAACTAAACTAACTGATAAAATCTGCCACACTTATCTTACAAATATACAAACATCAAGTACCAAACTGGAGTTCAAGAAAAAATTATGATATGTTGCATATTTCTTGAAGTATGCATTGTCAGAATTTCATTTTCCCTTTGATTATCATGCCTACAGCAGACAATAATGCACATATCCTGTATTTATTTTAAAGACTGCAGTAAATTATAACAAATGTACATAGAGGCATACATACAATAGTAAACTTTCACATGGACCTTTCATCAGAGATGGATCTGGACCTCGAGCTCTGGTACGATAAATAGACACATTTTCAAAATCATTTCGAGTGCTGGTAGCTTTAGATACCCTATATTAAACACACAAAGTGACAATACATCATACGAGGAAAAAGAAAATTCAGTGGTAAAGGTGTTAAGAACAGGATGGTAAGATTTAGTGGTAAGAATGTCAAGAACAGAATGGTAAGATTTATGGTAAAAAAGGTGAAAGAATAGTATAGAGAATACAGAAAAAAAACTGCAAAATTTGAAAATACTTAAATAACAAATGAGGAAAACATGTCAAAAAGAATTAGTGTTACTAAACACAAATTTAATGATTTAATAACTGTAAATTTAGTTATTTTTTAATTAATGGTAATTCACTAAAATTTCTACTTAAAGCCAATTTACTGGTATTTTGTTCCTTGCAAAACATTTGAACACATAAGAATAAATTACACAAAAATAGACATTTTACTCAAAACTTATTAGGCACTACAAAAATATATGAAAATAAATTATATTCTGAATGTAAAATGTAATGAATTCAGAATGGAAATGAATTATTTCTGAATGTAAAATACAAAATGATGTAGTGTATTAAAATTTTAAATTACTTCTGATAATATATACTACAATTTATCTTCTTCTCATATATATATACATATATACTGGAAGTAATTCAAAATTTTTTTGAAATGTTATCAAGGTTTAGTTTATTTGATTGTGGCAAAGCACCTGAGCATCTGTTTAACCCTTTAACTGCTGGTGGGATGCCACCTTTTTTTGTTTATAAGTTTTTATCTTCCAGATGAAGGCTGCAAAATTCCATTTAAAATATATACAATTACACCTTTTAGTTCTCTAAATGTATAACAGATGGCAGCACGAGTATTCATGCATGGAAATAATGTACAATAAAAATTCTTTGCTGGTCTAATTTTGAAGCAGTTTTTTTTATCTACTTCTAATGCAATTTAAATTGTCTGAACAACAACATTTGGTATTAAAATGGATATTTTTATGTGAAAAGTTTCCTTTTCTAAACAGAAATTATTACTTGAATTCATATATATTAATTAAGAATGGTTAAAATTAAAAGGTGGGACCAAATATGTCCCTCCGTACATGTAGGAATTGCTGCTACTAGATGGCAGCACTGTTCAAATATTTTAAAATTCAAGTATCATGTTTGTTTTATATGTTGATAATGCAAATTTATATTTTTTAATAAATTGCAATAATGTTAAAACTTGAAAAATATTTAGTATTTTTTCCGAAAGAAATGAAAATATAAGTCTGTAACATGAAATCTCATTGAATACTGAATGAATATGCAAGTGTGATTCATCATAGAAAATATCCTAAGCAGAGGAAAGAAAGGTGAAATGTAAATCATGATGGCCTTCTAAATACCTTCCTTTTTTCCCAAACCTGTAGCAAATAAAGTACTGGAGCAAAAATCTTTTCTGTTTCAAATTTCTTATGAAAATCATTAAAAAATATCTAAAAAGTCGTACAGAGAGTGATTTTTTTTTTAATTTTGTAATTTTTTTAATGTTTTTTATTTTGCGAATATGATTAATATTTTCTAGATAATTATTCAAAAACGTTTTATATATCTTGCATTTTCATTTGGTTTCTAAAACTAGCACTTTAAATATGCATGTTAGGAGAATTTACGCTGAGGCAAAGATGCCATTTTACTGCTCTAGGTATACGGTGGGACAAGCGATATCCCATCATGTCATGAATTACTTTAAAGGTTTACCTTTTTTTTAATTTTTTTCATTAAATAACATTGTATTAGGGGCTAGTTATCTATGTGTAAAGTTATTTTTTCCAAAAAACATTTTTTTATAAACTGAACCTCAAAGGGTTAGGGGGAGATTAAGCACCTGGCAAAGCATCTGTTTAAGTGGAGGGACATCTTCAAAGAGAACTTTATAAGGGAAATGAGCTTAATCAGGATGAACTACCAGTGCTCAGCAACTTTTCTACTCTGCTACTGGAGGGGCCATATGTTATGTAATTTTTATATACAGTACAAAGTCCGAGATCCAGACATCCAATATCCAGAATGATCTAAAATTTGGACCTTAACCCATTGAGGACCAGTGTCATGTACACACAACGCAACAATTCCACTCCTACCAGCCCAGCGTCCTGTATATGTGCCGGTACGATTCTGCTCCTACGAACAAAGCGTCCCGTATGTGATAGATACAGTTACAGTTACACATATAACATCTCCCTTTTTTTTATAAAAAATAATAATAGTAGTAAAATTAAACATATTCTTTTAAATAATAAGGTTTCTTAACAGTCCTACCAGATTGAGTAAGGTAGTTATGTCCATTTGAAAAATTTGATGATACTATACCTCTTTCACTATTTGGTGACACAACACTTCTGTTAGGTTTTGAAGGACTTACAGGCACATCTAAATTTGTAGTGCTCCTACTATTTTCATGTATCTCGGGTTCATCTATAGCTTCATTCTCATAGTTGTTTTGTATTGCAAACTCTTTCTGATTAGTTCCTTTAAGAAGGTCTCTTCTGTTCCTTTCTACAATTCTTTTCCATCTGTTCTTATAATCCTATATGAATGTGGTCTCTTCTGTCTTCTATCTATAATTTTCCTTCTTTCATTTAGTTTTCTCCCTTTCTCTTTATGTAACATGATCTCCTGTTTTCAGTGTTTTAATGGTCTTGCATTCCTATCATAATAACTTTTTTGTAAAGTTTGTCTATTCAGCAAATGTTGTTTATGGTCTTCATATCGTTTAGCTTGGACAAAATTCTCTTTTATAGGTATCAATCCATTCACTTTTCTTCTCCAAACATCAATTCTGAAGGTGACTTAATTTCATCTGAATAGGAGAGTTACGATATTCCAGTAATACTAAATATGGATCCTTGTTGTCAACTACAGCTTTTTCTAACATTCGCTTGACAGTTTGAATATATCCTTTCAACCATTCCATTAGATTGTGGGTAATTTGGACTTGAAGTTCTGGTTTCAAAATTCCATCTTCTTGCAAAATCTTTACATTTTTCTGCAATTATATTGTGGAGAATTATCCGAATATATACTTTTCGGAATACCATGTCTTGCAAAAATTGATTTCAATTGCTTTATATCACTGCTACACTTGACAAATCTTCCAAATGTCCAATCAATTTCAACATATTTGGTAAAATAATCTATAACCATTAGATAATCCCTTCCTTGAAAGTAAAAGAGATATGTTCCCAATACTTCCCATGGACCATTAGGTATTTCTTTAGATATCATTGGTTCTTTAGTATTAGCTTTTTGTAAACTTAAACATGTTTGACAATTCAGTACCAAATCTTCAATTTCTTTCGACATTCCTGGCCAATATAATATTTCTCTTGCTTTGATCTTGTTTTTTACTACTCCTAAATAACCATAATGAATTATGCTTAACATATCTTTCCGTAAACTTCTTGGTACAACAACACAGGAATTTTTAAATATTAATCCATTTGCTTCTCATAGTTCTTCTCTGAAGTTAAAATATGGTTTTGCCAGGTCTGGAACCATAAATTTTTCATCTGGCCATCCAGTTTTAATTAATTTTCTTAAAACTTGTAGTTCATCTTTTTCTGTTTCCAGTTGAAAAACTTCCATTTTACCATTAGACATTGGTATAAATTCTACAACCAATCCAACATGAGCTTCTATGTCTCCTTCAAAGAAATCAGATCCTTTATCAGTGAATGAATGATCTTGATAATGCATCCGCTATAAAAAGTTATTTTCCTGGTTTGTATTTTATCCCAAACTGATATGGCTGTAATCTTATACGCATTCTTTGTAGTCTTACAGGGCATTTATTTAATGGCTTTTTGAAAATTGATTCCAGTGGTTTATGGTCACTTTCCACAGTAATATATTTTCCAAATATATACTGGTGAAATTTCTCACACGCAAATACAATAGCTAAAGTTTCCTTTTCAATTTGAGCATAATTCTTCTGCATATCTGTTAATGCCTTAGATGCATATGCTACTGGTACATTATTCTGAAGTAAGACTGCTCCTAGTCCTTCTTGAGATGCATCTACATATAAAACTACTGTCATCTTTATATCATAATACTGTAAAACTGGTTTATTTACTAAGACATCTTTTAGCCTTCTAAATGCTTTTTCATGTGTTGCATTCCAGTTCCAGATAACGGAGTGTTAAATGTAGTAAATTTGCCAAAATGCTTTGTTTGCATCTAAAATACTAAAGACCTTTGCATTTGTCATTTGAGATGAAATTTCTTCAAAGGTTGGTATGTGATAATGTTCTCTCAGTATATTTTGGTTAAGGTGCTGAGGATCTAAACACACTCTTAAATTACCATCCTTTTTCCTTACTACCACTACTGAATTCACAAATTCTGTTGGTTGGTTAACTTCCTTTATAATACCATCTTTTTCCATTCTTGCTAATTCCATTTTTAATGGATTTAATAAGCTAAGGGTTCTATTTTACCAACAGCTCTTGGTTTTAATTTAATATGATATGTATATCCAGTTAAATTCCCAGTTCCTTTAAACAAATCTTGATATCCTTTTAAAGATTTTGGTAACTTTTCATTGGAATCAGGATTTACTGTACAAATCCTTTGTATTAGGTTTAATTTTTGCAATGTAGGTAAACCTAAAATAGCTGGAACAGTTTTGTCACATGCTACAACTTGAAATTCTACTTCATCCTTGTCCCCTTTTGATGTTTCACATAATAATTTACATTTTCCGACTACATCAATTGTAGTACCATTGTAATTATTTAAAGTGACTTTTGATTTAGTCAAACACTTATCTCTTAAATTTAATTGTTTAAATTTAGGCAATGGTAGCACATTACACTGAGCTCCAGTATCCAACTTAACAAATAACTATTTAGATATGTTTACTTTTAGTTTTTCAAACCATTCTGTTTTATTTTTAGAAAATGGATTTGTATCTTCTACTGACCCTAAAATATATTCATTACCATTATTATGCAACTCATGCTCTAAATTATTCTGCACAACATTAACATTTTTATAAGTGCACATTTTAGA